TCTTGGCCGTCTGGAGGCCATTCTGACCCTTTCGGGCCTTCTTGGAGGACGTCTTGGAGGGCTCTTGGGCCGTCTTGGAGGCTATCTTGAGCGTCTCGGAGACCTCTTGGGGGCCTCTTGGGGCCGTGTCTTGGGCCTCTTGGGCGATCTTTGTGGGCACTTGGGCCGTCTCGGGCCGTCGGAAGGCAGAAAAAAAACAAATGTCACAATCCTTCAAAACCCATGGGAAATCAATGATTTTGGCCTTTTCGGGCCTTCCTGGAGGCCCTCTTGGAGGCCTCTTGGGCCGTCTTGGGCCATCTTAGGGTCATGTTCGGCCGTCTTGGTGGGCTCCTGGTCCGTCTGACGCCGTCGGAAGCCGTTTGGGGGGCCTCTATGGGCCGACTTGGGGCCCTCTTGGAATGCTCCAGGACCGTCTTGGAGGCCATCTTGGGCGTCTTAAAGGCCTCCTGTGCCGTCTTGGGGGCCTCTTGGGGCCGTCTTGGGGCCCTCTTGGACCGTTCTGGGGCCATCTTAGAGGCCTCTTGGGCGCTCTTTCGGCGATCTTTGGGGGCTCTTGGGCCGTCTCGGGCCGTCGGAAGGCCGAAAAGAAGCAAATGTCACAATCCGTCAAATACCTTAGGACAATCCATGTTTTTGGCCTCTTCTGGCCTTCCTGGAGGCCTTCTTAGGGGGCCTCTTGGGCCGTCTTGGGCCAGCTTTGAGCCAACTTCGGCCATCTTGGTGGGTTCCTGGCACGTCTGACGCCGTCGGGAGCCGTCTTGGGGGCCTTTCTGGGCCGACTTGGGGCCCTCTTGGGGCGCTTCGGGGCCGTCTTGGAGGCCATCTTGGGCGTCTTGGAGGTCATCTTGGGCGTGTTGGAGGCCTCTTGGGCCGTCTTGGGGCTCTCTAAGGGCCGTCTTGGAGGCCACTTGGGCCGTCATGGGGCCCTCTTGGGGGCCTCTTGGGCGATCTTGGGGGCCTCTTGGGCCGTCTTGAGCCGTCGGAATGCCGAGAAGAGGCAAATCCCCAAATCCTTCAAAAACCTAAGGAAAATCAATGATGTTGGCCTCTTCGGGCCCTCCTGGAGGACCTCTTGGAGGCCTCTTGGGCCGTCTTGGAGGCCTCTGGGGGCCTCTTGGGCCGTCTTGGACTCTCTTGGGCCGTCTTCGAGGCCGTCTTGGACCATCTTGGGCGGACTTGGAGGCCATCTTGGAGGCCATCTTGGGCCAACGTGGCCATCTTTGACGCCATGTTGAGCCGTCTTGGAGGATTTTTTCGGAACGTTGGGGTCCTGGGCAATCCTCCCGGGACCCCGGCGGGACGGGCCGAAGCGCCAGGGGGAGTTCTTTTGGACAAAGAACCAAAACCAAAACCGAAAGGGTCAAGCACGCCAGGCACCCCTGCGATGAATCGACAGGGGGCGGCGGATACGAATGGCCCTCGGCCCATCCCGCCACCGTGCCTGGGTTGTGAGTATAAGGCCCATCAGATGTTCGTTGGGATCTCGTGGGGGGCCCTCCGGCAAAGCCAATCACGATGGCTTTTCCATACCAATTCATGACCTTTAGTCATTGGTTGAATGACTCGCCACCAACAATATCAGCAAATGCATCAATGCCAATTTTGTGCGTGCTTCAAGTTTTGCATCGGAATGCTTGTTCTCAGCGCATCTTTCACGGAGAGTGAAGGCACAGTACAAAACGTGATATATTCTGTTTTTGCCAATAAGTTTGTTAAAGGCATCATGTGATATAAAACACTTTGTTGCTCCATGAAGATAGCGACATTTTTAACCGCTGGCTAGTGTGAGTAAGCATGGCAACTTTGCGAAATCGAAAAAATACCGTCAACACAGAGGCATCTTGCACGAAAACTCAACACACGTTATATTGAAGAGAAGAAAGAGAAGGATTGGTTTAAAGGACCATTTTTTGTGGAATGTCTTTTGTAATGACAGTTTTTCAATTTACGATGAGACTAAACGGTCCAACTTCAACCTCAATCCTTAGTTTTGATGACTTTGAAGTGACCCTCTAGCAAGGTTTTTTATCATGATTTTGCTGAGTGAATACGGTGTACACTACAGTACTCAGACCACGGAATGTTGATGATATTATGCCGGTCATGGTATAAAGGAAATTGATGATTGATGTGAGACAAATTGCGTTGCCAATGTGGTACCAAATATTTATGCACGTTGTTAAAATTGTACTTACCAGTCCCCGCTGTGAGAATTGCCCGTGAGAATCGTACAGCTTTTGTACAGCGCTCACACCGGTGGTAACACTCCTATGAGATATATTCATTTCACCTCGGTGATATCACTCCGGTGTTGGTACGATATCTGCTGGACTAAACAAGTTTAGCTCCCATCATCTGATGCAACTATGGTCGAAACTGGAGCTCCTTATCAAGGACACCAAATCTACAACATATTTTTTTCCAACCCCTGCAGTCATCCGCAATTTATCTGACTGCATAATAATTCACAAAACTTTGCAAAGATGAAAATATCATCATTATCAAAAATACTATCATCTGAAATGGAACCAAGTTAATCAACTTCGACAGGAGAGAATGAAGGAAATCACTCAGAAACACAAACAGCAAGCTGTCGACCGTCAGACTCGCAAAAGGCGTCGCAACAACGAGAAACTTTGTCGTTAGGGGGCCTCTTGGAAGCAGTTTTGAAGCCTCTCGGGAGCCGTTTTGGGGCCTCTTTTTGGCCTCTCGGGGGCCTTTTGGAGGCCTCTTGGGGCCTCTTGGGGCCTCCTGGGGGCCTCTTGGGGCAGAAGGCTCAGATTTTCGGGTCGTGTTCCCTCTCTTGGGCCCCTTTTGGGGCCGTCTTGGGGCCCTCTTGTGCCGTCTTGGGTGCCTCTTGGGCCGTCTTGTGGCGCTCTTAAGCCGTCTTGGGGCCCTATTGGGCCGTCTTGGGGTGGTCTGCCTCTTGGGCCGTCTTGGAGCGTCGGAAATCCGAACAGGCAAGCACGCCCAAATCGTTAAAACACCTTAACGAACACATGAGTTTTGTGCCTCTTGGAGGCCTCTTGGAGGCCTCTTGTGGCATCTTGGAGGCTTCGTGGGCCATCTTGGGGCCATCTTGAGCGTCTTGGAGCGATCTTGGGGCGACTTGGGGCCCTCCTGGACCATTTTGGGGGCCTCTTGGAGCCATATGGGCTCGTTTGGGGGCCCTCCTGGGCGGGGTAGGCCGACGCGAGCGATTCCAGCGGACCCCGGGAAAGCCCAGCAAAAGATTGGTCCGGGCCCTTAACGACTCACAACCCTGGTGGCAGCAGCAGCAGCAGCAGCAGCAGCAGCAGCAGCCCTCTCAGTGCTGCGTGAGCCTCGGGGCACTCCACTTCGTGCCAGAGGCACGGTGGCGGATTTCACCGCACTGCACTGCAAAGCAGAAGTTCCTGCGTTTTCAGCTTGGGTTTGGCTTGCGCGACGCTTATTCTTTTATGCAGTCCGATGCATTGCTTGACTTCAGCACGTCTTTATCCTAGAGATAAGCAAGACCTCGCCAGGTTCATCGTAGCACGTTTGATGAAATGGGGAAGTGCGGCAGGTCCGCTCAAGTCCGGAACGAAACTGCAAAACGTCTGACATGTAAGCAGTATGTAGCTTTGGCCTCTATGGTTCAGAACGTCTGTGACTGATGCTTTCTACATGCATCTACTTGCAAGGGTCGCGTCACGTGGGATCCCTGTTGCGCCAAGTTGTGGCAGCAGCTCTGTGGGCGGTCCGCACCTGGTGTCGGTCCGCAGCTGCAGCCGAGTTGAAGGCCCCGTGTCCTCTGCAGCGCGCGCCTCCTGCTCCTCCTGCTCCTCCTCCTCCTCCTCCTCCTCCTCCTCCTCCTCCTCCTCCTCCTCCTCCTCCGCCCTCTCCTCCTCCTCCTCCTCCTCCTCCTCCTCCTCCTCCTCCTCCTCCTCCTCCTCCTCCTCCCGAGCGACCGCCCTCGTCTTGTTTCCTCCCTGTTGCACGCCGGACAATTCGCCTCTCGGGTGCCCCGAATAGCCACATGCTGGAGCGGGCTGCCGCCGACGAAGTCAATCCGCTGCAGCGCCCTGGAGGCGGGGCGCTCCTTGTCCAAGATAGGGAGAAGGATGGCTTCGGAGGAGGAGCAGGAGGAGGAGAGGGCGGAGGAGGAGGAGGAGGAGGAGGAGGAGGAGGAGGAGGAGGAGGAGGAGGAGGAGGAGGAGGAGGAGGGAAGCAAGGAGGAGGAGGAGGAGGAGGGAGTAGAGAGGGGGGCCTCCGATCCCTCCAGCGCTCAACCCAGGGCCGTTTGGGCTGCCTGCGCGGCTGCCGCTTGCCAGAGCATTGCCCGGGAGGGGTGGGCGGGGTGCGGACTGGGTGGTCTTCCTCTCCTTCCCGTTCTCCTCCTCGCCCTTTAGGGAGGAGAAGCCACCCAGACCGGACAATGGCGTTTACTAAACGGCCTTTGGCGTTTACTAAACAGCCCTGCTTTGTTTGATTCCTTCTTGGGGTGCGTTTACTAAACGGCTTCTCGTGTCGGGGTGGTTGTTTTCGGGGTGGATTTTCTGCCCTCCTCAGGAGGAAGGGGCCAGTGAGCTGGGCATTCGAGCGCGGCGCGGGCATTACCGTGCCAAGGTTTCGGACTGTTGGGGCTACATGTTTGTTTGCTTAAGAACCCGCGCAGGTGGGCCTCTCTGACGAACCAAATCGGGCGTCATAATCTTCAAATGTGTCACTGCCCCCTCTTTCGCCTCGTCTCCCGACTTGAACATGAGCTCAGAGATCGGGCAGAGGCCCGCAGAGATCGGACAGAGGTCCACCCCCTCATAGAGTCCACTGTTCCCACTCCTCCCCCCCCCAGTATCCATTCTGGCTCACGCCATTCCGACAGGGTCGGCGGGCTTCTCCTCATTTTTCCAGCCGCTGGGTGCACCGCCCAGACCTCCTGTCCGCCCCGTGCTGCGCGGCGCCGCTGTGCCGCGCCGGAGGCGCCGACGGTGCTGCGCACGGCCACCCCCCTGCGCCACCCAGATCCGTGTGCGATGGCGGCCCTCCCGGTCTGCGTGATGCAGGGCGACTTCCTGGACGGCGTCGTGGAGTCGGCTCTGCGCACCATGGCCGACCAGCTCAAGGCGGAGTACCGGAAGGAGCTCAGCAGGGCCCTGGAGGCCGCCGACCTGGAGGCCGCCAGTGGGGCCGGCGCCAGTCGAACCGACGCCCCGCAGGTTACGGTTCCGCCCCCCACCCTGAACACGCCTCTGGCTGAGGTAGGCGAGGGTCAGCTCGACTTGGTTGGTGAGCTACGGACGACGGCGAGCGTTCCAGGGCCTCCTGCCAGGGAGCACGGGAGCACAGTCAGGCGCGTGCGCATGTCCCGGCTTGCCCCCGAGCACGCCGTCGCTTGGAGGCAGAGCTGCACCAGCAACGGCATCAACAACAACAACAACAACAACGGAAGGGGGACGCAGCTCTCGACGGCGTGGGAGCTGGCGTGGGAGGCCGAGGCTCCCTTCGGCAGCCGCAACACGGTCCGTCACAACGACAGGTGGCAGGGCAGGCTGGCCGAGGTGGACACCGACGCCATCAAGAGCATGAGAGAAGAGGAGATCGCGAGGGAGGAGGCCCTGCTCGCAAGGCTGGATCAAAGAACATGTGACGCCTCCATCATGTTTCCTCGCTCCGCCCTCCTTCCCACCTCCTCCTCCTCCTCCTCCTCCTGCTCGTCCTCGTCCTCGTCCTCGTCGTCCTCCTCCTCTTCCTCCTCCTCCTCCTCCTGCTTCTCCTCCTCCTCCTCCTCCTCCTCCTCCTCCTCCTCCGCCTCCTCCTCCTCCTCCTCCTCCTCCCTCCTCTCTCGCAAGGCTGGGTCAGAGCACATCGATGCCGTCGGTGCCCGCCGCGGGCGAGGCCAGCCGGTGCCGCATCTTCTTGTACAGGGCCATCACGAGCCCGAGGTTTGATTCTTCTCGCTTCGCGGGGGTGCACGTCCGGCGTGGGAATAGTGCGCGCGTGGGGGGCGTCCTTCAAGCGTTTCCGTTTTTTCCTCCTGCTTTTCCGTTCCCTCTTCCTCCTCTTCCTCTTCTTTCTTCGTTTTTCTCTTTCCATCCTCTTCCTCCTCTTGATCATCTTCCTGCTCCTCCTCCTGTGTGTCTTTGGAAGCCCGGCCACAACGACAAGGGCTTCCGCTCGATATTTCCTGTTGACTCCACGGGATTACAATTCCTCGATCTTTCCTCTTGACTCCTCGATATTTCCTCTTGACTCTTCGATTCTTCCGCTCGACAATTTACCCCGAGACACCACCAGCCTGAGGTTTGCTTCTCAGGCTTGCGCCACACCGCCGACCCCTTGTGGGCCTGGCGTTCGTGGCGTGTTTCTCCCGGGGGCTTCTTGGAGCTCCATGAGCCCTCCCCCGAGGCCCTGGCGTCGCGGATCGGTTCACGCCTGGCGTTGTCGCTCAATGTTGGGCCCCCGGGGCCCTCACAGATCTGTCTGGCTCGAGGAGTGGCGCCGAAAAGTGGTGTCCGGAGGTTTGGGCGTAAGTTTTTGTTGCGACGTTGCATCTTTTTTTGCAACGTCGGATCTCAGGGTCAGGGGGCTGCTTGGAGTTCTTGGGGCCCTCTGTCCCCTTGTGGTGCGTTCGGCCAGTCCCGTGGGGGACCACCCTTCCTCGAGATCGACCAGGCCAGGCTCTCAGGGGAGGGGGGTTTGGGGAGGGGGGAACCACGCGACGATGAACCTCAAGGGGTCGGCGGATTTTGGCATGGGTTTCGTCATAATTTTAAACGCCTTGACAATAGGCACGGAGACCTCCCTCGCGCGAAGGGGGGGTCATATTCCGACGAGCCTTCGCGTCGCCGAGTACACGTTCGTCATCATCTACTGCGTCGAGCTGGCCATGCGGCTGTATGTCCTCGGTAAACAGAAGGCGTTCTCGAACCATTGGGTGAAGTTCGACGCCTTGATGGTAGCCGCAGGCCTACTAAATTTATTATTCACGCTGACAGCATTCGGCGGCGACCCAGCGGCTGCTGTGGTAGACAGTGCTAACATGCTGAAGATGATTCGCCTGTTCCGTCTTGCAAAGACTGTGCGGGTGGTTGTCCAATTCCGCACTCTCTGGATGCTCGTTCAAGGGCTGATGTATGCTGTTATGCCGATGTTCTGGACGGCCATCCTCATGCTCGTTGTGATCTACGTGTTCGCCGTCATCGCCATGGAGTTCATTCTCGTCTCGGAGGACAACGAGGCTTACAACGCTCCTGCGCGCAACTTTGACACCATCGGCGAGTCCATGATGATGCACACCGCTCGGCGGGGAAGCACGGCCAGACACGCCCTCCATCTTCTCCACTGGGCGAGCGAGACGTAGGAGGAGGAGGAGGAGGAGGAGCAGGAGGAGGAGGAGGAGCAGCAGCAGGAGGAGGAGCAGGAGGAGAAGCAGGAGGAGGAGCAGGAGAAAGGGAGCAGGAGGAGGAGCAGGAGGAGGAGGAGAAGGAGGAGGAGCAGGAGCAGGAGGAGGAGGGGGAGGGGCGGGCGAGACAGCTCGGACACGCGGGCGCGCGGCCGGAGCCTGCCGCATCAGTGTTGCGCGCGTGTCCGCCGCCGCCTCGTCCGCCCAGTCACACGGCGCTCCTCCTGCTGCTTCCCCTCCTCCTCGTCCCCCTTGGTGTTGTCCGAGTTTCCTCGTCATCCCTCTCCTCCTCGGTCCTCGGCGCTCACCCTCCTTTTTTCCTGCTCCTCCTCCTGATCCCCCTGCTCGTCCGTCCACCCCGCTCCCTTGCCCTCGTCCTTGTGCTCCTCCTGCTTCTCCTCTTCCCTTCTCCTTCGCTCCCTGCCTACTCCACCTCGTCCTTCTCCTCTAGTATTCTTCCTTCCTTCCTTCTCGTCCTCCCCCTCCTCTCCTCCTGCTTCCTCCTCCTCCTCCTCCTCCTCCTCCTCCCAAATTCCCTCTCGATTCTGATGGGGCTAGCAGTTATTGGGACCTTGCTTGCACTTGGACTTCTAATGCCGTTTTGGAAGAACTTTGGCCGTGTAGGGGCTTCTTGGGACTGTCATGAGCCGTCTTGGAGCTCTCTGTTCCCTGTCTGGGGGCTCTGCTGGGCGGGCCTGATCCCATTCAGAGGCCGTTCTGGAGGCCTCTCGGAGTCCTCTCAGGGCCGCTATTCTAGACAGAAATGCAGTGAAGACAGATTATTCGCTACAGGACATTGCACAGCATCACAGTTTTCTTGTGTCTCAAATAAATAGGGCTAAAGGAGCGTACTCCATTCATGATCAGTTGTGCTGTAGTTCGCCTTGCAGCCGACTCTATTTGCGGCCTACTGGTCGTCGCATGCAAAAGCGATGCCGCCGACAACGGTCGATGCCAGCAACCAGAGGCCCCGTCCTCACCCCGCCCAAGGCCGCGAGCATGGACGCATGCGACCTGCCGGGCCCAGTGACCCGCGAATCCAAGGGACAGCCAGGCCACAGCCCCAGCGGAACCACGCCCATCTCCGGCCCAGATGCTACCGCGCAGTAGAAGTTCCGCCCTCGACTGGGTAGCGGACGGACTTGGAGCTTCATCATTAGTTCTAGTTGCGTCCTCATGCAGTTCGCCCAGCTCACCCTGGCGAGCGGTGAGCACATGCGTCGCGACCCTGGTGCCACAGCGCCCCAGCGTCACGTATGCACGAGCGGCCAGGTGGATGCTAACCCTCAGGCCGCTTCATCGAGAATGCGTTTTCCAGCTGGTAATGTCTATTACATGCTTGTTCCTCGCGCCTGGACATCGGCGCCCAAACAGCCGCGCCACCAGTCCGATTTCAGCAAAGGCCACCATACAGGCGTTCCGAACGTTTGGTGGCAAAGTGAGATGCAATGATCTTGCATTGACAGGGGCAGGACCCCGTCCGGTTGCATGTTCCAAACCGTGTTTTCACGCTGGGATTGCAAATACACCCCGCTTCAAGCATGTCATATCATATCATAGGGTGTAATCGTGGTGTCTGGAAATCCGGATTTATGATCAGAATGTTCTTGACCCAAGCCGCTAGGATTCTAGGGGTGAAGGTGGGAGCTCGGCGCGGTCGAAACAGGGGTCAGCCTTCGCCCGCCCGCACACGCGGCAATAACTGACGAACATCATATCATGTTGGCGCTCTCATAACACGGCAAGAATGATTGCTGTTACTGCGTAGCGCGAGGGCTCTACCCGTCATCCTCTACCACCCGAAATCAGAAACAGTTTCAGTAGTTGTTACATCCCCTCTATAAGCTAACACAGCGATCGTCGACAAACCTCCTGAACGACTCAGGTGTGGAACACCCACAACAGCGATATTCTCATACATATATTCTCATTACCGTGGACCCCCCCCCCCTCGAACTGGGATCCCCCAGATGCGTGGCCCCGAAAGCTCCCTGGACGCTCCTGTAGGAGGCCCCCCAAACTTTTCAGGGCTCCTGGAAGCCCTTGCTGAGCCCTGGCAAGGGGCCCAAATCGGTCAGGAGGGCGGCCTAACGCCACCCCGAGGGCCCCCAAAGGCCCCAGACACCCACCAGACGTCCGATGACGACCCAAAGAAACCCCCCCAGAGGCTTCCAAAACATAGAACAATTGTGATTTCCGAAGGTTGTTGCATGATTTGGGGGATGCCCTGTTCTTCGGTTTTCTGGGCGTCCGAGACCGCGCTTGGGAGGCCCGAAAATCGGCCCCAAACCCAAGCGAGCCCCAAGACGGCACAGCAGCGCTCCAAGATGGCGTAAGAGAGCCCATGACGGCCCAAGATGGCCCCGAGACATTCTGCGAAGTATTCCGAATCGTGACCGAGTCGTTCAGGGAGACCGCGGTTGAAGGCAGGGTGGCCCGAGGAACCCCCCAAAGGCCCCTAGAAGACGCCCAGGAGGCCTCCAGAAGGCCTAAAAAAACCTTAACAACTGCCGCGAGGCCCCCACAGACTTTCCAAGGAGGAGGCTCCGCAAAAAGAGCTGAGGAGGATAGGGAAGAATTCGCAGGATAGGGCGAGAATGAGGAAAAAGAAACATGGAGGAAGGATAACGGATGACATTACTATAACGGCGGTGCCGGACAAGGCGACAAGGAGTTATCTCGAAATCGTTTGTTTGACCTTCCTTCTCCCTCCCTGGTTAATTCAAGCTTCGCGCGGCCCGCTTAGCTTCGACCGGAAGAGTTGCGCTCTCGACCCGCGAATCAAAAATTGTTTGACTTTCCTGCCCTTCCGCCTGCACGCCAAACTGCAAGGACCAAGGTGCATGGCGCGAAGCGCCAATTCAGTCTTGTGTGTATATACGCAGCAATAGCACTGGGATGTGAAGCTTGTGCGCGAGGCCGGTGTCACTGTCAGCCATCGAGCTTGGGGCGCTCGGAAAGATGCCGCCGACGAGCATCCCACCTCAGCTGAAGGCACTCGCTTTGCACCAAGGACGATGAGTAACGTGATTGCTGGGAGCCGTGGCCAAGCTGCGCCAACATTGCCGACCAAATTCATCTGGCATGCAGACACCATCTACGATGCCATTCTGGAGCAGGGAAGACATACCGCCACGGTGGACTTGTGAAAGCGATAAGATCTTCATGGGCTGGTTGCAGCGAGCCGGCTGGCGATTGGAAACCACTTTGACATCCGCGCCAGCATTTGGACAAGTTGGGCCCGCCAGCCTGAATATCGGAGGAGCCGCTAGACAGAGGGCATGAGAGTTGTTGAAATCAACGCTTCGAGGCGGATTCCTTCCGTCTTACAGAGCGGACGATGCCCAGATATATGTTGCCACGCGCCTGATGTAGTGCAATGTTACGCACCCTCGATGCGGCCGTCGAGGCATTGCCGCAATGAGCGCGACATCAAGGTCGCAAAATTCGAAAGTGGACCGCAGAGACCCGCCTGCTGAGCGACATCGTTGAGTTGAAGCACCGCCGCACGCTCAGAAAAGGTGCGTCGTCAAGGGCAGCCGCCACGGCGCATGGGAACAAGGCGCCTCCTTTAACATCTGCAACAGCGACGGAACCAGCCATTTGTTCACCAAAGTTGATGGAGGCATGTGAAAACCATGCACACGTCCGTGTTGCAGCTAGATTTGTCGGCGAATCAGACAATCGCTACCCGCCGTATCATCGACGACAGCGTCGCAGTTATGTATGCAACATGTCATCACGCACTCCCCAGCAATATCCGATGTCAAGCAGATCACCGAAAGTTTGGGGGGCACTCGGCACTGCGATCTGAGGCCCAACGACTCCGGAGGCCACCTCAGTAACTCCGCGGGCCCTGCCACGGTCAGCGCGCGCCAAGAAACGCCAGCAATCACGTCGCTTTGCCTGATCAGTATGTTGGATTACATGAGCGCCAAATCCGGGTGTATGCCGACTCGCTCCTTGGAGTGATGCCCCGAGGGCCAGCGGTTGGTTGGTGGGCGGGGGATTCTGATCTATTTTCCACTTGCTCGTCCACAAGCGGTCTTTTCGCGCAGAGTTCGCGCGCGAGTCGACGGGGGCAGCCAGATGCAAGATGGGCAAAATCCGTCTGCGCTGCTAGATGTCGACGGGCGACTTGGATTATCCTGTTTACAGTTTCGCAAACAATCGGGCACGACAGCTGGGCGCGCGACGGGCGGTGCGCCCGGGCAACCAGAGGGGGAAGGGGGCGGCGTCGTCGCTGCCAGGCACCTTCGCCAGGCCAACGCGACATTCCACCAGAAAGTCGGTTCTTCCGCCAATTCGACGCCTTCTACCCGCGCGCCCAGGCCAAGCGGGCACCGACCGCCCGCTTGGTCGCGACATTGGTTGCGTCGGATCATGGATAGGGCAAATTCCATTGATCGACACTTGGCAGCTGTCAAGAGATCGGCGGCACCGGAAAGACCTCACTCCACCGACTTCGGAATCGCCGACGTTCGATAGCCGAGTCGTGGCCGCCGCCCCTCGCGCCGAAGAACGCGCGCGCGCTCTCGGCATCTGTCCCCCCGCCATCTGACAACGAGAGCGAGTCTCCCCCCCCTCCCCGCGCTCCTCGGATAGGGGGCGCGCCGCGGGCTCGGGGCGCAGACGTCGGGCGCGCTCGCGGGCGCGGCGCGCGCGGAGCGCGTCGCCGATTGCGCGCGCGGCCCCGCCCGCGCCTGCCGGCGCTTCACATTGGCCGCGGGGCGGTCGCTGCGCGCGAAATTCATTGTCCCGCGGGTGCGACGTGCGCGCGCGCGCGCCCCCCCCCGAGCGACGGTCTGTTCTGCGGCCGGCCGCCCCGCGCCCGCAGGCATGGATCGGGCGGGGGCTTGCGAGGCCGAGACAATCTGATGGCGCGCCAGCGCGGTCGCGCCGCTGGGCCGCAGCGCGTGGGACTTTGAGCGGGCGCGACGCATCCGGATGGCCATGGGCCAAATGTAGTCGCATGCCCCTATGCCGGCGACCCGCCCCGCCGCGGGCCACCCCCCGCGCCGCCCCGCGAGTGGGCCGCCTCTCGGCGCCCAATTCCACTTTGCAGACGTTGGCCGACTAGGCCGCGAGTTCGACGGCGCTGCTCAACCCCCGCGGCGGCGCGGGCAGGCATGAGCCAGGCCCCCGAAGCAGTCGCTCCAAAAGCGAAGCGCGGCGAAAACGACGCCCCGTGATCTTCGGCCCGACGGCGCGCCCGTTGACCGAGTCGCGCTGGGCTCGCTCGACGCGCCAGCCGCTGACATCCGCGAGTCCTTCGCGGCGGCGCCGCGGGCAGGAGACGTCAGTTTTGAAGGGTCAGGCGATTTGGCGGCGCTGGATGATTCGCCCGATCGGCCAGCCCGCGCCTCCGACCACGCCGCGCCCCAGACCTAGTCGGCCGGCGCGCGCGCCGGCGAATCGACCGCATGCCCGAGCGCCATCGCGACGGATTTTCTCGACGGCGCGACCGGCGTCGCGGGAGACAGCAACATGCGACTTCAGCGCCAGCGGCAACGCCAGCTGGGCCGATACCAGCGAAAACAACTCCAGCCCGAGAAGGCGACGGCCCCCGCATGACCGTCGCTGCGAGTAACTCCCCCTTGCGTTGCGCCACCTGGGCTAGACGGGAGCGACAGAACATTATTGGCTGCGCCGGGCCGCGGGATGGCCTCCACCTGCTCGGCCCGCCCTTGGCCAGAGCATGCGCAATCTTACGCTTGCCCAGGCCATCCCGACGGCTCGCGGCGACTGCGCGACTGGCGCCGTGGCCGACGGCGACATTCGCCGGGCGTCGTGCGTCGTCGATGTCGTCGTCGCCGTCTCCGGCCGCGCGGGGCGGTCGACGTTGCGGCCGACCCCAGCTTGCCAGTCCCGGGCCCGGCCCGTTTGGGGCCAATTCCAGCTGGGTCGGTACCGGTCCAGGCTGCGAGTTCTCTTAAATCCTATGTATTAAGGAGTCCGTTTCTGCTTTCAGTGCTATTTACATGTTCACGCAGCGCTTGTGAGACTGATTTCAAAGTTCTCCTAACACGTCTGAGGAAGTATTCAACATACATATTAAGAAGTACTCTTGCAACCTTTGAAGGGCCACGCAGCAGACGTCCTGCAGAAGTATTCGGGAGACGTCTTGAGGAGTGCTTGCTCACAGAGAAGTACTCCTAAGGCTTTTGAAGACGTGCTCTTAAGAGACACTCCTTCAGAAGTACTCTGGCGATTTCTCGAGGGGGGGGTCCTCTGAGGGGCTTCTCGGAGGCCTCCTGGAGGTGCCCGTGAGGGGCGGGACTTCTGCGAGGCCTCTTAGGAGGCGCCCCGCGTGGCTCATGATGGAAAGGCCACGGCGGGCCCGCGGATTCTTCTCGAGTTCTTCCGGGTTGTTTTAGGTTCGACGAGTGTTCCTTCGGATTCTTCAGGATTCCTTCAGGGTTTTTTGGGTTCCTTCAGGATTCCACCGGATATCTTCTGGATTCGCAGTCTTCGGGGTTCCAGAGGATCCTTGAGGGTTCCTAAGTAATCTTGCGGATTCTCTAGGATTGCGTCTGATTCTGACGGATTTGTCTACGCCCTTTGGGATTCCTTCGGATTCCGTCGGGGGCCCCCACGGTTCTTTGAGGAATCGCACGCGATTCACATACGAACCGCATGCGATTCACATAGGAATCGTAGACGAGGCTTATCGGGATCGCATACGGGTCTCATCGGAATCTCACGAATCTTGCACGATTCACATAGCGCCCGCGCGCGTGCACACGGGAATCGAGTATTCGCATTGTAGTTGTATACGATCCACAGGATGCGTACGCGCTTCACACAGGTTTCGTTTACGATGCACATAGGAATCGCTTGCGATTCACACTGGGGTCGCATACGACCCACGTAGGAATCGTTCACGCGTCAGAGAGGATCCGCACACGATACGAATCGGAATCGCAAGCGGTTCACACAGGAATCACATACGTTACGCGTCGGGTTTGTGCACGATTCACATCGGAACCGCATGCATTTCACCGTGGAACTTTGTGCGGTTCACATAGGAATCGTGTACGTCTAGTATCGCACGCGCGTGAGTTTCACATGGGGATCGTAGACGAGTCACCTCGGAATCGTATATGTCCCACGTAGAAAGAGCACACGATTCACGTGGGGTTCGTATACGATTCACGCAGGGATCGCATTCGTTCACAGAAGAGTCGTCTGGGATACACGCAGGGTTTCCTATGAGTTGCACGTGGATCTGTATACGACTCACATATGAACCGCATCCGGGTCACATAATAATCATATACGATCACAGATCATTCGTGCGCGTTTCAAATTGGAGGCGTCTGCTATTCACATTGGAATCGTACACGATGCAAACAGGGCTCGCATACGATCCACATCGGACTCACATCCGATTTAGATACGGACCGCTTGCGATGCACATTGGGATCGTATACGACCCACGTAGGAGCCGTTTACGCGCCACACACAAGTCGTAAACGATTCACGTCGGAATCGTATGCGATTCACACAGGAATTGCATACGAGACTCGTCGGGTCTGTATACGATTCACATTGGAACCGTATAGGAGGGCTCGCATTGGAGCCGTATACGGTTCACAGAGGAACCGTATACGTTTTACACAGCACGCGTGTGCGCTTCATTGGGGAACCGTCTACGATTTACATAGGAGGCGGAATCGTATACGGCTCACCCAAGACCCGTGCACGATTCGCATCGGAATCGTTTGTGAGTCACATAGGAATTGTATACGATCTGTATATATATATGTATCAACTGCACGCGTCTCACATAGGGAGTGTAGACACGTCACATCGGAATCGCAGACGGGCCACGTAGGAATCGTATACGATGCACTTGAGGTTCGCACACGATTCGCGTAGGAATCGTATGCGTTCACACAGGATTTGTGCACGATACAAGCCGGATCTTTATACGATTCGCATCGGCACCGTATACGATGTACATTGGAACCTTACACGGCACACATAAGAGTCGCACGCGTTTCACATAGCATTCGCGCGCACTTCGCATGAGAGCCGCTTACGACCCACATCGCAACCGTATACGATCCACACCGGATTTTTATACAATGCGCATAGATTTCGTGCACGGCTCACACAGGAACCGCATGCGAGTCACATGGGAGTCGTACACGATTCATATACGAATCGTACACAAACCACATTTGATTAGCAAGTGTTTCGCATACGACACGTATACGGTTCACAAAGGAATCGCACACGACGCGCGTAGGAATACATATCCGATTCGCACGGGAACCGTATTCGATGAACACAAGAGTCGCAAAGATACCCACAGGAGTCGTATACGATTCACATCGGAATCGTGTACGATTGACAAATGCGTCGTGCACATTGAAATCGTAAGCGACTGACACAAGAACATCATATGATTCACATTGGAGTCGCACAATGGGAATCGTGCACAATGCACATAGAGATGGACCACGCGAATCATGGAATACAGTTACAACTGCCGTATACAATGCATCACATGCTAATTCGTATACAGTACGCATCACCTGTATACATTGTCATGACTCGCAGACATCAGGAACCAGCCCCGGCGATGGAAGACGGGAAGTGCGAGTGGGTGTACTCATGTACTTCTCGAGTGTCTGCAAGATAGAGTTACTTTATAGCTTCTTATTGACGCTTCGCGTAATCCCACCAGCTCGTTTAGAGATGATGCCCAGAGGAGTTGCCTCGATCAGGGAAGTGGGCAGCACACACTAGGAAGTGTCCCTCTTGGAGCGCTCTTGGGGCCGTCTTGGGGCTCTCTTGGGCTTCTCTTGGGGCCCTCATGGGCCCTCTTGGAGCATCTTGGGTGCCTCGGGGGCCTCTTGGGGATCTCTTGGGAGCCTCTTGGAGGCCTCTTGGGCGCCTCTTGGGGCCTCCTGGGCGCCTCTTCGGGCCCTCTTGAGGCGCTCTCGGGAGCCTTGGGAGCGCTCTCGGGGCCATCTTGGAGGAGATCGATCAAAAAAGATGGGAGCTCTTATTGCGACCCCCACTGGGAGCCCTCTTGAGGCGCTCTTGGGGCGTTTTTGGGCACTCTTGGGGCCGTTTTGGGGCTCCCTTGGGGCCCTCAAGGGCCCTGTTGGAGTTGTATTGAGGCAGCGGACGGCCATCGGAAGCGAAAAGGCGAGAAGGCACATTTAATTTATTATCTAGTAGATTTTTGAAGGGTTTGGGCCTCTTTGCGGCCTTCTGGGGAGGCTCCGTAGCCAGTCGGAGCCGTCTTGGAGCAGTCTTGGGCCTCTTGGAGCATTTTGGGATCCATATTGAGCCATCTTGGGCTATCTTGGGCCATCATCGTGGAAGTCATCTTGGGCTCTCTGAGCCCCTCCTAGAGCCATCTTGGGCCATCCTGGACGCTTCAACGACCCGCGACCCCACCCCTCTAGGTCCATGGGAGGGGTTTAAGGGGAGGGGTCAACCTTCGGGGAGGGGTGGAAGAGAAGACGCACTAGACTACCTACGCCGAGAGGGCTGGTGGGATGTAAGAGCAGCTTGGATTGGCTCCAGTCTGGGCCAGACGCAGTTGAGATTGGCCCCAGGCGGCCGGGATTGGTACCAGTTCGCTTGGATTGGTCTCTCCACCAGAGGGCCCCCCCTCAGTAATTTTCCCGCGGGGGGTGGGGGGCGGGGGGAAGGTTCTGGATCCCCTCGGCTAATTTCCCTGGGGGAGGGGTTCCTGGATCCCCCCACTCATTTTCTGGTTGGGGGGGGGTCCACCCCCCCCCATTCATTTTCGCGGGGGGCGGGGGGTTTGAACCCCCCCCCTGCCAGCAGCGGCAGAAAACGCTCATTCCAATGGCGCAACCTACTGGGTTGGTGCATGCGTCAGCTAAATCTTCCGCTTACCCGAACCCCATCACGATGCATTTCGGCGATTGCGCGACCAGCGTCGTGGCCGACAGCAACATGCGCCGGCAGCGCCGGCGGCAACGCCAGCTGCGCAGATACCAGCATAACCGCAAAGGAGACGGCTCCGACATGACCGTCCGTCGCCGCGAGTAATTTTCTCCTGCGTTGCACTTCCTGGGGCAAACAAGAGTGCCCAGTCACCTTCTACGCCAATCTACGCCAGGCCGCAGGATGGTTTCAACTTGCTTGGTCAACCCATTGCCAGAGACCCACGCGAGAGGTGCCATCCCTGATCGCACCGTGCCCAGGAAGAAGACCACGATAACAATGGCGCAACCTACTTGGCTGGTGCATGCGCCAGCTTCTCTTTCGCCTGCCCGAACATGATCACGACGCACTGTGCGACTGCGCGACCAGCGTCGTGGTTGACAGCAACATGCACCAGCAGCGCCAGCGGCAACGCCAGCTGCGCAGATACTAGCAAAAGCGCAAACGAGACGGCTCCGACATGACCGTCGCCGCGAGTAATTTTCTCTTGCGTTGCATTGCCGTGGCCAGACAGGAGTGCCAGGTCATTGGCTACACCAGGCAGCTGGATGGTTTCAACCTGCCTGGCCTGCCCGTCGCCAAAGACCCACGCGAGAGGTGCTATACCTAATCGCACCGTGTCCCAGTTGAAGACCTCGATAACAATGCCCCATCCCACTAACACTTGAATGGTGCATGCGCTGGCGAATCAACCGCTCACCCGAACGCCATCACGACGGCACTTGGCGACTGCGAGACAGAATCGTGGACGACAAGCGCCAGCAGCGTCGGCGGCAACGCCACCTGAGCAGTTTCGAAGAAGAAAAAACGCCATAAACATAAATTGTTGGTGCTCCGCGCGGATTTCTTGGTTCCGTGCTGGGCCCCTCCAGCAGCGCCTCCGGCGCCGCCCCTGGCGCTCTCCGCGCGCCAGGGAGGGGGGTCCAGCGCAGATCCAAGAAATCCGCGCGAGGCGCCAAAAGTTTATGTTTATGGCGTTTTTTCTTCCTTCTACAGATACCAGCAAGAATAGCACCACCCGCAGCGCGACTTCGACTACGGAAACCTCCAGCACCAGGACTAGCAGACTCACTGCCAGCGCCCCCGCAAGCGAGTGTGGAGCCAGCGCCGCCCGCGCACGCCGAGCGCACGACGGGAGCCGGACTGAGCCTGGAGCTGCGTGGGCCGCGCGGCATCAGCTGCCACATCTCCCACTGGCAAGGGCACCGACAGCAGAGTCTGCACTGGCACTACCGCCATATGCGCGGGCATTGGCATCAGAAGCTTAGGAGGAACGCCAACATGAATGCCCGCAGTGGTAATGGCGCCTGGGCCCTCGCCACTCCCAGTGGTCATGCCGACGCAAACAGCGCCGTAGGTATAGTGTACGCTTGCACTCAGCCATGCGAAGTGATTTGCCAGTCAAGCGCGCCACATACCAGCGATTCAATGCACCTGCCCAAGCTCTCCTTCCTCTGACGCCGCTTCCTCGGCGTGAGCACCGATGGGGACACACGATTTCGATCTGCATGTCACACGGGGCGACCACTGGACAACCCACCGGACACTCACGTGACAGCCACGGGACAACCGGGGGACAGCCGCGGAGCAACCATGGCGAGGCGCCGCGCAGCCAGGGGGACAGTCTTTTGGTCCCACCCCACAGCCCTTCGACACTGCCGTCGCGGGGCCCTCGGCGCCGCGGAGTTGCAGACATTCAGTATGTATGTGCGCGTATGTGTGTGTGTGTGCGTGCGTGCGTGTGTGTGTGTGAATGTGTGTGTGTGTGTGTTGGAGGGCTTCTGCCGACGGCTGCTGCGAGACCTTCCACGGTCTCTGAGGGCTCGGGCGTTCCTAGACGCGCGCGCGATTGTTGTTCCAAGACTTCCTCCCCCTGTCGCTGCGCGCGGGGCCGCGACGCCGTATGTGTGTGCGTGTGTGCATGTGTGTGTGTGTGTGTGCGTGGGTGGGGGCGTGCGTGTGTGCGTGCGTGCGTGCGTGCGTGCCCGTGTGTGTGTGTGTGTGTGTGCGTGTGTCTGTGTGTGTTTGTGTGTGTGTCTGTGTGTGTTTGTGTGTGTGTGTCTGTGTGTGTGCGTCCCGTCCGTCTTTGGCCTCGCCGAGGTGCCCCCCGTCGGGGGAGGTGATTGTTCGTGGAAGGCTGGTGGCCAGGTGACGGGAAGCGGAAGAAGCTGGCGACGAAGAACACCAACAACCCCCTGGCCACGAGCCCCCCGCCGGCGAAGGTGACGGGAAGCGGAAGGGTCCGCCGAGGTTGCGGTGACGAGAGCTTGCACCGGGGCTTACCGCAGTACCCCCCAGGACGGGGAGCGTGTCACCCCCGTCCTAGGCGTCCCATGCCACGTCCCCCTCAATGCCATCGGTGCCTTGGCCGCCACAACCAAGGAGGTACAGCAGGCGGTGGACCAAGTGCGGCCTGGGCGAGGTATTGTATTCTGCGCGGTGGGGGCACCAGGGACCCCGGCCGACACGGCACTGCCCTCTTGCCAGGCCCCACCCCTGCTTGCCTGGTTTTCAGGCCAGCCTCTCGACCATGCACCGACCTACTGGTGGATGGGTTACTGCCGCGCTGCCGTGGCGCCTTGCACTGCCTTCCCCCCGCCCGCGCCTCGAAGGTCACCAGATCTCGGCGCCCGCCCGCTCACCTGCTGGCACTCCCAGCTCCACGCCGCTCCCCCTGATGGCGCGGCTTTGCCTCTTCGTCCTTTTCCTACGCCTTCACGCTGGCCTGCTCTTGCCGCGCTCAGTGTAGCGCACTCGTGGCAGCCTACGCCCCGCCCTTCACGCCTCACGCCGCGCCTCGTAGGTCACCAGATCTCGGCGCTTCGCCTTACCGCTGGGTTCGCCCGCTCCGCCGGCTCCCCCATTGGTGTGGTGACTGCATCAACATGTGACACGTTTCTCTCCTTGCAGCCGTTTGCTGCTTGTCCAATGTCAACC